CGACCGTAATAAAATCGAAAATGTTCAGAGGGTTTTCACCCGGAAACTGTTATCTCAAGCTTCGTCCAGTATTTCTTATACTCAGAGATGTCAGCTGGCGAACATTAAGCTTTTGTGGGTTAGAAGACTCGAAGCTGGCCTTTGCTTCCTTTTTCGCATCAACTCTAACTCCAGTCTTCCGCACATTGACACTCTCACTCCGAGAGATCGGTCTTATGCCACGCGCAACTCCTGCATGGTGATTCCGCCGCCTCTTTGTACTACATCTGAGCGCTCCCTCTTCTTTGCTTCCAAATATGCCTTCCTTTGGAATAATCTTCCGCCTGAAATTAGATTATCGCCTAAGTTACTGGTATTCAAGTCGAAATTACGCAACCATCTTACACCGGAAAGCATAAAGGCACTGTTAACGGTCTCATTCCCGAACACTCAGATTCTTGACTTCGAGAAGGGTCCTCCTGGGATTTAGTGGTAGATTAAGTGGTAACTCTTAATTATATCATTAGAAACCCCTATTTTGAATTGGTTTCTAAATCCACTGCTATCACTCCCCCCCCATAGCGACAATTTTCGCGGTTTTTGATGTCATCTCCCGCAATCCGACCTCATGCGGTCTGTTGACGCTTAGGGCGGAACCCTCAGTATTCGCCGTCTTCTAGTAGTTTGGTCGTTCCTCCCTTCCCCTCTGCTCGGCTGAGCTCGAAGCGTGCTGTGGTCGACCGCATCTCGGTTCCTCTCGTCTGGCCTGTTTGACGCGGCGTACCAATCCGGCCCAGATGATCTCAATTTTGAATCCCGTATACAATGCCATTTGCAAGCCCGTCCTGTCTGACCCGCATTCGTACCCATCAAGGCTGACATTTATTGCTACCCTGATGATGACCGACAACATTCCGTTATATACCGCCACCTACAAGCCAGTCCTGCTCGCTTTTTTCTGTTATTAATTTTACGGAGGCGTTTGTTTTCTCCTGTAAAATTAATCCAATCATTTTTAACTCTTTATAAGGAGTTTTTTTCACCCCTCAATCATCATGTTTCTCAATGGACTTCTAATTCAGAAAGTAGGAATTGCATTTTGTAAAGATTCGGCCTACCTCGTCTAAAACTCGCTTGCTTTGATGGGACCCCGACGGGTCTTTAATAAAAATTATCTATCTATCTATCTATCAACGGAGCTGTCAAAGCCTCCATTGACTCTCTTTGAGCTGTCAATGAGAACAGGAAGGCTGCCATCACACTGGAAGTCAGCTAACCCCGTTCCCTTACATAAGGGAGGTAGCAGGATGGAAGCAAGCAGCTTCAGGCCTATTAGCTTAACTTGCCTCTCATGCAAAACGATGAAAGCCCTAGTAAAGAGCGCTATACAGCAATTTTGTGCAGAAAACAACATCTTGCAGGATTTTCGGCGTGGCTTCCGGAGAGGACGTTCCTGCCTCCCAAATCTGCTATTTTGTCTGTAGACCTGGACCAGGGCTGTAGAAGAGGGTTTTGAGGTCCATGTCGTGTACATCGATTTCCGCAAACCTTTCGATACTGTTCCGAACCAATGCATTCTTTATTAATTAAGCGCCATCGGCATCCGGAGAGATCTTTTGAACTGGATAAGAGCGTTTCTGGTTGGTCGGAAACAACGTGTCTGTATCGGGGATGATATGTCAGAATGGGTGAACGTGACCAGTGGTGTGCTTCAAGACTCAGTTGTGGGACCATTGCTCTTCATCCTTTATGTTAACGACAGTCTTCAGGAAGTCGACTGCGGCAAAATAATGTTCGCCGACGACGTTAGGCTCTGGCAATTCATTAAGAGTCCTTACGACCAGAGGATCCTCCTAAACAATCTGCATCGACTGCAAGCGTGGTCGGAGAAATGGCTTCTAAATTTCAATGTGCAGAAGTGCGTCATCCTTCATCTGCATCCAACCGACTCTCGTTCAAGTGAGAGCCTGAGAACATATCACTTGAATGATATAAGACTCCCCGCGAAATCTTCACAGAAGGATCTCGGGGTTTGGTTACAGAACAACCTGAAACCAACACTTCAGTGCCACAAGTCTGCGAAAAACGCAAAGAGATCGCTCCATGCAATCAAAAGGGCGTTCGTGACCAAGACCTTTTTGGGAGAGTTTACGGCATCTTTGTCCGGCCCCACTTAGAGTATGGCATACAAGCATGGCGGCCATGGGAAGTAAAGGACCAAGCATACCTCGAACAGGTACAACTTCGTGCCACAAAGCTGGTAAACGGCCTAAAAAGACAATCATACGCAGACAGACTGAATTGCCTTTATTTATTCCCTCTGTGTTACAGGCAGCAAAGAGGTGATCTTCTACTCGTTTACAAGATAGCACATGCCCTTGAGCACGAAATTAGCTTTGAGGACATGTTTCATTGGTACCCTTTACCCAATCTTCGTAGTCACTCGATGAAGCTATGGACAACGATGTCTAGACTGAATCTTCGTTCTGAATTTTTCACGCAAAGAATAGTTGAGAAATGGAACGATATTCCTCAGTCAGTCGTGGAGGCGACGTCCCTGCAACTTTTCAAGAAACGCTTATTTGTGTTCCCTGTTTTCTCTCGACAGTCTGAAGTTGGACTAAATACCCCGCGACTCCGCATTTTTTTTCTTTGAGACAATACTACTCAAGTGAATCAAGTGCTGCTTTTATAGCGAATATTTTCGCTGTTTGTGTGCAGTTATTTCTAACGAGATGACATGCAATCAATAAGGTTTTCAAAGGCTTTACTTATAATCCTTATCAACTAAACTGAAAAATAAATTAAAAGAGCTTCTTTATCGGCCAGTCACAGTACTTACTCGTGAGCAACTGGAAGTAAATGTTGGTGCCTTAGCACTTTGGGCGTCCTTTTCAGGTCATTACCGCTTCTAATCTGCTCAAGGGATTATAAGATATGAATAAACTGGAGATGAGACAAGTTTACGGATGACATAAAAATATGGCTAGACATGCTACCACATGCCGTAATGATAAACGGACTGCGCGAAAAGGACGTATCTGCATATGCGAATGGTGTGATAGCTCAAATTCAACCTTCAATAATGTGTCGCCCTGCAGCTCTAAACAAATATGGTAGGCCCAGAGTTGGACTATCATGAATACTTCTCTGACAGAAGGCCCTGGCGGATGTGATCGAAAATGGGTGTCAGAGCCACTATAATGCTGCTACAGGAAGCCTCCTCTCAATACGTAAAGGAGATCGAAAAGGCGACGGATGTCTTTTCGCAACTAAAAAGCCTGTCATATGTATCGATTTGGAACATGTCAAAAAGTGTTCGGGGTCTTTATCCACTTTCAACTGGAATATGTATTAGAGATGTGTCCTGAAAAAGATTATAAGCGGCTTTAGTGGGTTCAAAGGAGGAAAATAAAGTCACGAAGGAGTTGAAATCCTCATCATACAAACACCGACATAGTGTGCTTGTCACATTTTTATAGAATAAAAGGAGATTTAAGTTGGTCTCACGGAAGACTTTCAGGTTGCCGGGAATAGGGTTTCAATGATACCTTCGTACTGGATGCAATGCACAACCCGCGTATGAACTCTCCCGAACCCCTAGGAACCTTGTTTCTCATGGTTTTTTTTCGGCAAATCTTTTTAACTCGAGTTGTCTGTGCCTGGAGTGAACTTCGCAAGGATATTTTAATAGCAAAAACTGCAGAGGCGTTTAAACACAAACTGCATGATAAATGACGCACACAGAGACAGGAAATCCCTGTAGGACCAAATGAATGTCTCTCTTGCGCTCACATGTAACGCGGTAAAATATAATTGCACACTGTCTCTGGTACCTATTGAGGGTGCCCGAGCTTAAGCCCCTATTCCCACAATGGTATTTTGCAAAGTATGTTTGTGTCTGAAAACATAATTGTAACATATGCATTTTGACACGAATATTGTGTCTACCGTTAGCAAAACGATTTCCACTGGCTTTTCTCGGACGAAACTGAACTACACTGACCAAACTAATCCACATGATCATCTACAGCCCTATATCAACAGCCACCTTTTAGTTTCGTAAGTCTCGCATATTTCTTTGACGAAAGTACGAGTGCGAATCTAGGTATCTTCTAAATGGGTCAGCATAATAAAACGTCTCCCTTAGTCTAAAAACCAGTCCACTCAACAATCTGTAAAGGTGGCGCGCAGAGTCCAACGTATGAAGGATACACATTTCGACATTTTTCTAGCAAAAGGAATCTGCAGAACATTCACTACCATCGCGAAGTCTTGGAACGTTGGAAACGACGAAGATTTGTTTGGCTCTGTGTAACAAAGGGTCGTGTGCCAGCTATCTCTCGGAGCAGTTATGCCTCGTTTAGGCTGATGTAAGGTGGAGTTTCTCCTTTTCACCGCTTGAAGTATACATTTATTGCCGGTTGATGTCTCGACAAAAGCATTCTCTATTTAACCATTTGTATTTCTTAATGTTTACCATGTGATGTAAATACTAAACGTCTTACGATGTTTGCGCTGCAGACTAAAGTCTGCAGACAACTGAAAACTTTCACGTCAAAATATGGAAAGTCAAGTACTCTCTCTGCCTGGTCAACCATTTAGAAATATCGGTCTTTCACCTTCGTCGCTGTCAGTCCATCGCCCAGATTTCGTTGCAAAATATATAGGCGGAAAAATTAGAGCAGGTCTATATGTTGATTCAGGAAACCTGATTCGGACATAGGGTGTCGAATAAGTTACGTGCCTTCGAGAAACTTAGGAACCCAACAGCGACTAACTCCAGTCACAGCAGCGATGGCTCCCAGAGTATTATTCATAACCAGGCTTTTATGAAAAAAATAAGTTTCCTTACTTCGCCCTGCTGCAAAAAATTACAATAGAGAAATTACAGAGGAAGAAGCACTTGCTGTATTGCGACTTTTGTTTGTACTACCCAAAGTGATTCATAATTTGAAATCAGCTGTTCGCAGAGGGCGTTGTGCTTGGCTGTCATTTCATCTTTCAGAGATCTTAAAAGGATGTCATTAGAAAGCATTATCGAGTCTACTTATCGGATTTGTAGTGGATCAAAAACTGATCTAGAAATATTTCACGTAAAACTGACCGATTCCGCCCTAAAAAACATCGAAAACCTATATCGAAAGCAGGTACGTTGTCAACTTACATCTGAAGGCTTAAACCGTCTAGACCAAACCAATTAAACTCAGTGTAGAAGGCGACCACGGGGTAAGATGATGACAACTTTACTACAACAAAACTTCAAGACCCTTGCCGTCCCTAGCAAACAGTCCTATGACTACTTTGATCTTTCTATATCTCCGGTCCACTACAGTCCCGAGGGCATTATTGACTACGTCCAGATACAGGGGTAAAAGCTGCACGTTATCATTTATATCGTTGTAGGAGTAATGTGTCTAGTCTCGGAAAACCAGTCTCCAGACTGACCGTAAAGGCTAACGATGACAGCTTCTCTGCTGCTAAGATCAAGATGGCGGAAGCTGAGAAAGAGCAACGAAGGTGTCAGTCCAAGACAACACTCTTTCCGGACAGTAGTAAATCACTTACTCCTAGGAGGTATCAAGAGACCTCCTCTGGCCAGCGCCCCACACAAACTCCTCCGAACTCACGATTGTCTGAGCCAAGAATTTCACCCTCACTGAACGCTAACCGTTGTTGCAGCCCCCATTGCGCCAACAAGAGTCCCTTGACTCCCACAGCGGACGTGGCTTCTCGCCGTTTAAGGTAGAAAATGTTTCCCCCGCACGGATTCTTTTTCTAAAGTCGTATTTTGGCAATCACACTGCGCGGCCCCCGTTGTAAGCGTCATGATCGTAATCTTGGTTTCAAACTAGTTGAAAAACTCCCAATCTGTATAGGGTGGGACCTTACATCCCCTCCTGCATTGTTCCTAGAAAGGACCGCTGAATGTAGTTTTTGGGGAGTTAACGTCTTTTATCTGAACTTCTTAACTTCCGCATACACCTAGCACTAAAAACGGCTGCATTTGAAGATAACAGGGCTCCTCATCCAACTTTGCCGATCGGTACTAGTTTTGCAGCACTCCGCCTACTTCGTCTTTACCTGCCTTCAGTTCAGCTTTTAATTCTATGGTGTTTATTACGGCCCTCCGGTATTTCATCAAACGTCGATCACGCGCTCCTTAGTCGACTCTTTTTACTTGTTTACAGGGATAGAATTATTCATTTGCTTGCACTACGCCCATACAAACGGCCCGAACTCATCTTACGTCTAAAGCAAGATGGACTTACTAATGAGGATAAGGAACTGGTCGATGACATTCTTAACAAAGTCGGTCGTCTCGGAAGGCAGGGTGATTTCAGTCTCGCCGCCACGTTTTACAATCTGATTGAAACTTCCTGGCCCGGATATTCCCAGTCTGAGAGGGCAACTATAACTTCAATAAAAGCAAGTTGATTTTTCGTTCCTTGCTACCCTTTGAAATTATTTGATGCCTTTTCAGACAGTATAGCATGCGTCTACGCATATAATTTTGGTCGTCCAAAAACATTTGTAAATGCGTAACTATGATAGTATTTCAATCCATAATATTCTTACTATCTCTTACTAGCCTGTGCAGTGGATTGCAGTAGAAAGTGTACATCAGAAAGAAAACAGGCTGCTAGTCATTTAACGGGTGCCTATATGGTGACTTTGAGAGACTTTAGCCGTCATCTCCTATGAAGCCGGCAGTGCTAGTATGTCACCGTAGGATTTTCAAGCCTTTTAATTCCCTGAACTATCCAAAAGTAAGCTCTGGCCCAGAATATCAGGCAAGGTGTCTTATTTTTCCGTATTGCTCATTCCATTAAGTAAAGAATCCCATCATTTTCTTCGTTTATAAAGCAATTTTACCGTTGGCACAAAATAATGGTGGATGTACGCTGCAGCTCTTTAGTGTTATTCTCGCACTCTAAGGATGGTCTTTAACTGCTTTTTATTGAGTACTTTCTTAGCAATTAGATGCGGGGCCTCACACATTTTATGACATCAAAGATAGTATATTGTTATTTTTTCAAACCCCGCTCATAATGCCTTGTAGACTGGACCCATGCGTTTTCCAGTTTCCATTGTTTAGTTATGGTTACGAGTCATCCTGGATTTTTGAAGGAACAGAAGGGTCCTAGGATTTACTTCGCAACTTCTCATTAATATTTTTTCAACCGCACAGAAGACGCCTTTTGCTCTAGTTGGTAGTCCAAGAAATTGAATATTGCAAGAGCGGCAATGTATTTCTTCCTCGAGACAATCGTTGAGCGTTAATTTTGGCTTATTTAATTTGGTCAACCTTTAAATTCCAATCAGATAGTGCCTTTCGGGTCCTCATCCACTAGTTTATGCTGCCTAAACTTCACTGACTGTTAAGTCTAGCTGAGTAAGCTGTCTTACTCTCAGTTTCAAAACTACGGAAAGCATTCGATCTCATCTCATTTCTCCAAAAGCGGCCAACTTCCGGCCTGTATACTTAGTTTCTATTAATACCGCGTAAAGATGTTCCACTCAGTTTTTCGAAAAAAGGACGCGCATCTTTTTCCATGGTTGATGACACACATATACTTACTAGTTTGCTGTCAGTGTTCGCACGTCGTTCATCCCTGCCAGGGTTTCGGGCACAGCATGCAAAACCATTTAGCATTCCTTCGAAGTGTCACTTTCTAACACTACTGATTTCAGTTTTAAGAGCTATGCCGACAAGGGAACTCGATTGTTTTATCTTGAAATGGTGTTAGCGTATCAAATGACTTTGATGTTTGTGCGTGCAAACAATAAGACCACCAGTGATCTAAGTCGCGTTCCTCTACTACAATAGCTGACATGGGAATATTTTCCGCAAATGTCACTAGTCTTTCATAGGAGATATACGACCGGCGAGCAGAGGACGATAATCTGTGACACTTTGAATGAGCCTTGATCGAAGGAAGCCGACTGTACGATATACTGTAGCATTTTTCGTTCCCACAATTGCCTTCCTGATAAGTAGTTTTTTGCACCACACGCAGTTCTTATTTGGTTAAGACCTCGACACATTGCATAAGAATTTTCTCCAAACAATGCCTTTTAAAATCGCAACTATTCGCTGTATTCGCCCTCGAGTATCGCCACTTTCCCCTCAGGTATTTAGAAATGTCACACAATGGACTTATTCTTCCAGCACCAGAAATGTCTGCCACACATTCCCGTAAACCTTCAAAGTGACTATAAAAGCATCAAACCGAAAGGACTGATGTGCCCCTTCTTAGCAGACTTTTGAACTTGTCAGAATTGAAGAGAACTCACAAAACACATTGTCAGATATATTATGTATACGTTCTGAGGGATCCTGACTACTCTTAGCTGATATCCTGCACATATCAAAGGAATGGGCGGTTTTCGTTACGCAACCCAACCTAAAACAAACATTATTTTTGCCACCTGTTCATGTTCTTAGGGAAACCTGTTTACCTGGTACACACGACCCGACGTCCATTTATACCGCGCTGCTGAAAGTGTAGCCAATTGGCCGCCTGCGTGACATGTTCAAGTTTAGTGACGTTCATCGTCCTCCTTAGTTCACCATATACACTTTTAGAGGGCCCTTCGGTTCTCGAATGTTTGTTTTACATTGATTGTGCACTCAAAAGCACTTACTGTAGACTTTCTTTGTGTTTTCACGTAAACGCGACGTTAGCCGCGAAATTAGGGCTTGCACACATCTAGAACATAGTATCAAAGGCATTTCCTCCGGCCAACCTAGTTTTTTCTTTTGGCAGGCAAAACTCCAGTCTTCCTCTCCCACTAACCGTCTTTTGCCGGAGAATGCTTCCAGAGGGGTTGCATCTCGGCAGAATTCTCCATCTACCATAATTGCTGCAGATGATTTTGGTCGCAAACCAACCCGTGCCAGTGCACCAAGTGCACCTCACTCCCTTGGCAAGAAAATTGCCGCGTTGGATCTTCTCTCAAGCGGTATTCCGGCCACTACAGTTGCTTCTCAACATGGCATCACCGTGCACCTTCTTGAACAGTGGAAGTCATCTGAAGCTGTTCTCCGCCAGGTTTGTACACTGTCTTTCCCGAGGACTGCAAGTCTTTCAACTCCTTTTGCATGTCGTGCGTTTTCACATTTTATCAACCTCTTTTCGTACTGAACCCCATGTAATGCTGCTAATCGATTTAGTTGTCAAGTCTGACTATGCGAAGTTTGTAGTTTTAGAAATGTTGCTTTGAGGGGCATCAGTCCTTTAACCACAAATGTGCTGACTCTTAAAATTCCCTGATGCTTATTCCAAACGTCGGACGTCTGGAAAGCGTCGCAAGTCCGGGATCGTAATCTATGTTATTTAGTACGGACTCTTTTCACAAGCCATAAGAGTCGGGTACTGCAGAACGTTCACATCTACAGTATTTTTAGCCTCTAAACCCGAATTGGAAGATGCTATGCACAATAAGGAAGACGTTGTTGCGTGTGTGCGTGATTGCGCGCCCTATATATTGACACAGATCGATTCATAATTGCGCCTGCGAGAGTGCGCCTCTGGAGAGTGCGGCTGCGTTCGCAGTAGTAGCTGTGGTGGCGGCAGTGGCAGCACCCATTCATCAGTTAATGGTGTTTGCGCGCGCCGCCCCTGCGAGCTTTGCATGCGTGTGGGCCTGCGCGTCTACGCGCAGACGCCGTTTATTCTTCCGGATTCTCTATACCTCTTCTCTTCTCTTCTCTCTCTCTTCTCTCTCTCTCTCTCTCTCTCTCTCCCTCTCTCTCCCTCTCCTCTCTCTGGGTCCAATTTTGTCCGTGTGTGTGCATGCGTTCGCGATGGGACCATCATCAACTCGCCAACAGCCCCCACCCTTATCGGCGGTTTGGTGTCTTAAGTGCATACTCATTTGAATGCACGCAGGTGCGCATTGGCCGGTCAGTGTGTGCGAATATGCACATGGAAATACAAAAATACGTAGTTCCTCACCATTCATCCCCTCTCGAGCTCAGTAACTTGCTGAATTATGCAACAATAAGGATGGTGGTTTTGCCACCGTTTCTGTATTATCATTTCTTGCCGTGCCTTCCGACAAAACTGATTTCCTCATTCTTCGACCTGCCCCCCTTAGGAAACGAGTCCCATGGAAGGCGACCATTTCTGGTGTTGGTAGCTTGCATCATGAATCAGGCTGTATAGCACATCCTGTGAACTTTAAACATGGTAGTCGACACTTTTTACCCCCTCCTGCCTATGTAAACCACTCTTCACTCATTACAGGTGTACTTTTGTCTTGTGGACGTGGCATCTAGGCGGCGGCGGCGGCGCGGACATTGTTGCTTTTCGCAAGACTGTCACCTGACAGTAGAGTGATAGTGATTCTTAAGTGGTCGGGCTGTCCGAACTAGCTACTTATATGCTGAACGCACCGAGTCCTGATTTGAGATCCGACTTACGATTAGACTGTGGTTGTTACCCCTTTTTGGGATGCATGCCCTCAGAAGGGATTATTATTTCTAAGTAAACCCATTTTAACTGACTAGCGCTGAATGTCAAACCGACGCTCGAATTTGTGGTCAACACGGGCCAATCGGAAACCACAACTTTCCGTACTTCAGTATAAGCGGCACGGACAACCAGTTAATCCAATCTATTTTCCACTATGTGCTTTGCACTTCGCCGGTAAAAGCAAAAAAGACGCGTTATAGAAGGCAATCGAGAAAAGGAAAATGCGGTCGTCGGAACAAGAAGTTTAGTGGCCTGCCTTTTCGGATTCTCACTCAAACCCTTATCTGCGATTGTCTTTGCTGATAGGTTCGAGTGAGAATTGGAAACCTCAGACCAGTAAGCTTCCTGTTCCAGCGACGGCATCTTCATCTGATCTTTGTAATTTGCCCATCCGCTATTACGGGTGTTGCGTTACACCTAAATGGGCTCACATGAAGGTGTGTAGTAAGCGTTAAAGGCACCAAACAACTTTGACCCCACCGTATGCATTTATTGCCAGTTGACTTGGCTCGAACTTGTCAGTAATACAGGCTGGGAGAAGGAGAAGCTAGTTAGACCAGCTCTCCCGTAATTTCCTTAACAGCTTTAATTTATCACGCCGTCAAACTGTTGTGACTCGTGGCTTTGAGAGCTTCCGAGGGACAGGATAATTCACTTCTCCAAATCGAAGACCAGGCCGCAGTGCATCCGAAGTATGTCCTTTACGCAAGTTGCTCTCGTGGCATATGGGTCCATGAAGTCAGGTGTGTGGGGAGCGATGGACCAAGTGTGTGGGGAGCGATGGACCAAGTGTGTGGCACGCGTGGATGGGGTCTATTCCATGCCTACTCCCATCTCCAATAATCTTAATCTCGTCTACTCATTGGAACTCAATGTGCGTTGTGAGAGAGGTCGAGGTAGGCGCTACGAAGGTGCAGTTCATCGTATTTGGAATCGCAAGTTGCCATTGCAACCCAGGGATTCTATTGCTTATCCTCTCTTGCGACGAAGGACCTATCATGGAGCCGACAATATCGTTGCTTTTTGTTGATAACCAACTTTATTTTAAAATGTAAACCGTCTGACACCAGCCCACAATGAACTGCATACTTATTTACACAATTATACCGTCCACTGTACACCCTTTATGAGGTTACTACTGATTCCACCAATTGCATTTGGAGGGATTATTTTTCTTACAGCCTTTCAAACAGCTGCCAAGCCGACCCCCCAAAGGTGGCCCGAAGGCCATCCAACGTATAGGTATTATTGACTTAGCTTTAACACAGTTTTCAAAGGCATTATAAGGTTTTCAAAGGCATTGCCTATTACTCTTAAAATATACGGACAATTGACTCCGCCAACAATGCAGCCGCCTTAGGCGCATGCCGGACAGCTCCTATTTTGTGTGGTTGCACGCACTGCATTGCCCCTTCGCCTAGTTCTTTACTGCATCATACCAGAAGTGAAAAGCGCGACAGAGCACTAACATCATGACATCAGTTGGTAACCAAAACCCAGTTACGCTTTAGGCCGTCTTATTCAATGCATGACGGAGATGCCTTTGTCTATCCGTTGCACTGGTCCGAGCAAATGGGGTTCCACCATACTGTTTGTTTGCCAAATTTATTTGGACGTGCTCACTAATACCTTCGAGCGCTTTTATGTCTACTCTAATAGATTAAAATTTGAATCCGTTCAGTCAAGCCCTCATCATAAAATACGAAGCTTCGATGTTTTTGCTCGGTACCCGTAGTCGAGGACGCGCCAAACAGGGCACTCGGACAGCGTAAATTCCTTCGCAAGCATTTTGTTATGTCCAAGGAAATAAATAACATTTCATGTGTGGCCTCGCCTCACTGTGCTTGTATATGATTTCCACGCATGCCCCTGCATATCCAAAACATGGCAGGCACGAAAATTTCCTGCCTTTCCATTACTAAGGACTGTTTGTCGGCTCAACACGACGTATAGGCGAAGCCTCTTCAAGAAAGTTTTTTGTTTCATAATCTTATTTTATGTGACAGGTAATACTGAACTAAATACCCCGGTTATATTATTCCGGTACCATCAAGAAGTCGACAGCAACTGCGGTTTTTCAACGCACTGTTTGCGTCCCTTGCAAACCTTGCTAAGGTGGTTGTCTCCTTGTAATGTTTCAGCGATATGCCCAACGGCAGGGATCTACATCGTCTGTCCCGGCTACCACCATTCCACAACCTTCACGCAGCTCTTTCGCGGATATTCCGGAAAGGAGTCCTCACCTACGTAGAACTCTTCTTCCTTCCGCTCCTACCCAAGAGACCGAGTGCAATACCCCAAATCGCACCGTAACCAAAGAAATCTCAGGCTCCACCTCGGTCCCCAAGAGGCGGCTAGGGGATTCTATTTCTGATACCAACGAACTCATTCCGGATGTCACCTCGAACAAGCAGCGCAAACTCACTGACATCGAGCGCGACTTCACACTTACTTGTTCCGGATCCTCCAATTCCACTGCCTCCACTCGTCCCATCAAAATTTCACGCAAACTTCCACAAAAACCGGCTTCCCCAGTCCTCAATGATATCGGCTATAGTCGGCCAGCCGAGTCCACAGAACAAGGCTTCGAAAACAAGCGCACCTCCCCTACCTACGTAAAGCATCCTACATCCGCGGAATTGCGTCCTGTTCCCCCACCCTCTGCAAATGCTGCGTCGCTCCCGTTCTGTGAACAAGTTAATGGATCTAGCGGTGACAGTGCGTATTACACTAGCAATGGAATAGCTGGCGGTTTTAGCAGCAGCGGTAGCAGCATAAACGGCTCGGCTGGCGGCCTCTGTGCTAGATCCTCGATTGAAGATGCCCACACGAACTCTCGAGTCTCCAGGAGAAGACCACCCATGGGTTGTGGCAGCGAAGCGGGCAGTTGCGGAGACAGCAATGTTCCCTCACCACAGACACCACCTACTCAGGATACCCAACCGCCTGGTTAGTTGGTGTGATATATCGATCTAGTATTCTTATAATCTTTTTCTCCAACGGCAATTGCTTATCTGCTCCCCTCTAGTCGAAGGTAACTGCGTTGACACCATGGCGTCATGAAACACTGTGGTGAAATGGCCTTGTGACTGCCAACAGAGTCAACGCTTACTCCACTTTCGTCCGCTGGAGTTACATTCTCGGTTTAGGCATCAGACATGGCTATTCTTCAGACAACACATACATGTTTTGTTACAGACCAGTTTTGCGGAGAGGGCTAGCGAATTCACCTGTTGATTTTTGGCGACTTCTAGGACTGAGCATTTCTAAAAACTACAGAACCCCATGGAATCTTCGGCTATCTCCCATTTAACCTATTAGTCACAACGATTGTGTCATTCGCCTATAGCGAACCTGGTCCCACCCCTCCGTATGTTCTGCATCGATTGATATATCTAGGGAAAAGATCGATACATCCGGGATGCCTTTCGCTCCTGCCAAATGTAAAGTGCTGCCACGCCTTGGTTGGAGTCCCCTTTTTCTCTGACAGTTGTCGGTGTATTGGCAGTGTCTGATACTGCTGAAAACAAACTGTCTTTAAGTTGAGGGGATGACCTAATCCCCACCAGCTTTTGTTTGCAATCGGTGGCCTCCGCCTCACAGACTTAGGATCTCTTTTCGACTGACTTCCAAACACAAACTACCTTTGGCCACGAATGCGTAGACCGTTTGTGAACTGGTGTGACTACGTCGCCAAGTAGGAAGTTCATTACTTTCAGCCCCACATTTCTGTGCTCTAGTCTGCCATGACGAGGTAAAGAACAAACCGGTTAAGTCAAAGCATATGAAATGCAGGACCGACAACAGCTAGCATAGTTCTTGTCCCTCCTGGCAAGTAGAAACTATTTTGAGCGTCAACTGGACTTGTCCAATAGGTCGTCAAACAGTGAAATGCGGGTAGTCTATATCACCTAGTCTATGTTATCCCCTCCCCTCCCCCCCCCCTACGTAAAGGCTTAGTTTCTGTCTATTCTTGCCTAACCTAATAACTGGAAAGTGGTGATTGCAAAATCGGTTCTCGGAGGATGTTGGCTTTGTGCAGGAATTTTCCAAAGTTCTCACTGTCCCAGCAATAATCTGCCGCCTTCTATGTAACGCCTGACGTCAGACTGCCTCTAAATCATAAAACTGGCCTCTTGGATAGGCTTTACTGGGTTGACTAAATTATAAAACCCGTTATACGGCAAATCATTGCACAATTATAGTCTATCGCTATGCTTAGGTTATTTAATGAGCTGCGAGTCGTAATGCTGACTAAAACAAAACCCGAGGTTTTATACATGCATGTTGATTGCACTAAGCAGTATTTTTCCGGTATATTGTTAGATAGGGGGTTCCGAAAGCACGCTAAAATTCATTTGCAGGGTTTCTATACAGCCTGGGTTTCGTTGCAGCTTACTGTATCGTTTGGCGCATAGCTCCAGCATCTGCATCAGGCCAACCCTAGACCGTATATGATGCCCAATACTCACACTAGGCACCTGTGCGTCCACATCCTTGCCCTGCTGCGAACGCTCGTGCCAGTGCCGTTCAGGCAGATATTGTTAAGTTCATACACCCATCTTCTCTCCCTGTTGCCCTAAATTCCGACGTATTTGCGCGATCGGCTGCTTGGGCTTCCATTTTTCTGTCCAACACCTCCGCTGCGCCTTCTTGTCGCGCCTGCTGCCTCCACCGATGTCTTACTTCCTATTCTTATGCGCACGCGCATACGGGTGGAAGCCAGCGCCGCAGGTCTCCTAGTGCACCATTTATGTAGGGCTGACAATCTCCGCAGTGGGCATGTCTCTCACCCTCCCAAAGAGGTGTGCATACCAGGTCTGTTTTACTAGTTAGGAACTTCCAGCTGTGATATCCGATCCCGACAGTCAGATTGCTTCTATCCGAAATTAAGTCGTCTGACTCTCTGATCATCCACTACAGCCCTGTCAGCCTTGGGTGTCACGGAGGACAACAACTTGAGTCGTGATCAACCTGCTGAGACATTTAGTCTAGGACTTAGGTGACGGTTAAGTTCACACACAAAACCCATAAATAATCTGTGCTTTTGGCTTTTTGTTGTGCGTAAGACCACCCACACACTTTCGATAGTTATGAGGATCAGCGCTATTGGCCAAACATGATATAACCCTCAGTTACGGAAGCAGAGGCATTGTTTACAAAATAAACTGCCGAAACCCTCTTTTGCCTCATTCTTGAGTATTGCAGAAATAGTTGCCCGCACGCAAAAGAGTTGAATCGCATTGACCGCTTATTTCAATCCTGCGGGCGTCTAACAAGTTCTGCGCAAAACTAACTCAATGACCAGCTCGCAGGTGCATGGAATCTCTGGAGCCATACTAAGTCAGTCTATGGGTGTTGGCGTCAGAATTGTAGCTGGACCGACGCCACCCCTCGAGCAGCGTTGCCACTAGCCGAAGACTCTATTCCTAATGGAAATAAACGGCACAGCTATTTACCGTATCCCATGTGCCGGTCGCCCTTGCTTTTACACCTATTTGGTTCGACGCCTCTGTGCCCGCCTCGGTAAACGTAAGCCGTCGGTCCGGCTACGCGACTCCCCGGCGCTGCAAATAAAATTACCAGCATGGTCGCAACCGCTAGTTGGCGATCACCTTTTCTCGCGAACATTGTTGCCCGTTATGTCTATTTCAGAGATGATTTTGAAGATTTGCGAGCACACTACAGCTGTCTCCTACACCTGGGAATTACTGCTTCATTTAGAAAACATTATCTAGTATTCTTACGACTCCGGTATCCATCAGTGAAAATCACTCATAGTCCTTGCATCCACAGTTTGGTAACAATTATTGTGCCCTTGCCCCACCCTCCGATACCTTAACCGCACTCATACTAGCCATTCTGTCTATATACTGGGTATTTGGTAATTCTAACATTCACCAGTAAATTCTGAGTTTCTAAACAGTTTCCAGTTTGGTTAACGTAACCTCAAAATGCCTATCAGCAGAAATTCCGGTCATTGTCTTCTGCCTGTCACCGCTGTTTCGGCACCCCTTTGTTGCTTGTTGCACTAACTCGAACTTCGCATTTTTCTATGCTCTGAGTGCTGACCTGGCCCATCAAGTACATAGGTGATGATTATACTGGCCTTCCATTTAACCAAGGTATTATTGAAACTTATACGAGTCGTCAGCTTACTTGTCTTTCTCGCTCTTGTGTTTTCACACAACTGTAAATGGTTGTCATGAATAACCAGTAACTACCATTCCATGCTCCGACCAGTTGATATCTTTAAAATACCAAACAACTACCCTTTAATGTTAAACGGCTATCTCTGTTCGACACTGCCTCCGTGCAAATGTGTTTGACTTGTAAAATAAGTGGCACTGGAGCGTCAACTCTAGAAGACGTACATTTCCCGAACGATAGGGTGATCCGATAAATCGTAGTTTGTTTTGGTTGAGGTGGTTAAGCAACCTGCAAAATTGCGTACGTCGGTCAAGCTGTTTCCTAAACTACGCTCAACCCATTTCGCAGTTGTCCTACCAACAGAACACAGTAGGAGAGAGGGAGTGAAGGGCCACTTCCACCCATCCTTTCTTCACTCCAATTCACCTGAGTCGTATGCGGACAATCTCAGCACATCGAAGGTTACGACTGAAGGGTTGACAACCAGCGAGAAACCTTGGCGCCTGAGATAGTGCTGGACTGCATTAGCTTCTTCTTGGGCTGAATTTGTAAGAATTATTATACGTTATACACACGAGACGGAGACAAGCCGTCAGGGCCACTAATATGACCCAAATCGTTCAAAGTCATCTTATCCTAGTCTTACCATCAGACTGACGCTCGTGCAAGGCAGTAATAAGATTAATGCCGCGCAAGTTCATACGAAGGTCACTACTGCTTTTCAGAAATAGTGGCAGTCATGCTCGTGTTCGACAGTCAAACTATCCTTTTGGCCACGTGTCCATGTAGATCCCGGCTTGGTCAACCAGGGGAACCAAAATGTGTAGCTCTGTGTAGCCACCATGTCATGACAGGAGTGAGAAGGGCGCAGTTGAGTGGTTGTTGCTCGCTATGCTCCAGTCAATTCTTTCTCTGGTGGACTGACTGTTAGTGTTCAGAAGTAGACTCCCAAAGTGCAGTTTCTGTACATGGGTACTAGTGTAATGATGAACTGTCCCATTCTCTACAGGCAAGTCAATGTTGAGCGTCTTCCAGCCATCTCACTGTGCGGATGAAAAATCATCAGAGCTATCGGACGAAGAGTGCCTATACTCGGATATTGCTTCAGAAACAGCTGAATTGGAAAGGTAATTTCCTCTCTCCTATAAAGGACAGTGCGTTTTTATGTTCACTTTATCACCTCGCCAGAGCATTGGACTTCACATTGAGTTTTTTTAACTCTCAGCCCATCCACATCCTGTTGCCGGAACTTTTATTTTGCTGTTCGTATAGTGGTAAGGTCACTTTTAAGCCAAATCGGTGTTTGGCTTTTTAATGATGAATTGGGGTCCTGGTCTGCGAATAAATTGCTCTAGTTTGCTCTTAGACTATGCCTCCCTTGTTTAGCTAAAACTCGGCATCCGATAAAGATAGAAAAGCTCTTTTTGGAAACCATTAAGTTTTCCGCCAATTCCAGTTTATACTAGGTGCTATCTAACCGGCCCGGCATACCGAGTTCTATTGCGTTATCATTCTATAAACTTCACATCTACTACCTGTCTAATTTTAGGCTCTTTCCGGAAATTCGCGATTCGACAGAAGCCTCTGCATATCGTAACGAGTTTGAAAGTCTATACCCGACCTATCTGCATCTCTACCAATCATTCCAAGCTGCCTGGGAGACCATTGAAACCCTTAAAATGCGTGTTCTGACTGCTCTACGCGAACGCAGCAGCAGTGCGGCCTCGCAGTCTGCTTGTGAATTGGACGAGTTCATCAAGGGCATGAGGACGCCGCAGCGTCGCGCCGACGAGATCCAGTTGGCAGTTATGACCTACAAGCTGCGTCTTCTCAAACAGCGTCTAGCGGTTTTTACGGCTCAGGGCGTCGAGTCCAAGATGTCGACAGCCAGCGTTACTGGTTACTACAAGGCTGTCGATGCTCGTTGATCCAGTTACTTACATTCACATGCACCCATCATCTTAGTTCCAACAAAAAGACTAGCACCGAACTTTCTGTCTTCTCTTGTGTGTGATGTTCTGTCTTCTGACCAGGCTTTCATTCTGTACAGTAGCTACCGACCGGAATTGCATTTGTTTGTGTTTCTAAAGGGAGGAAATGAAAGTGTGTACATGCTTCATCTCGGATACATGACAATCCTGTATACAGTTTCTTCTTATGATTCCCATTCCATTTTCAGAATTATCTGTTCACCGCATCTCTGTGACGGTCCCCCACCCATCCTCCCCTCCTGCGTACCATGTCACAATTTCTGGTCTTCCCTGCAAGCTCTTCATTGCTTGTATACACTCGCTCCTACAGGCATTTAAAGCCGAATTAAGGTCCACCGTTGCATTGAAAATGGAGGTGGTTATTCCCTTTTGCTCAGCGATTGGGTGTTGTGACCTCTTCTGCCAGCTAGACTTCTGTGATCTGTCTTGCTTCCCTCAGCTGCCCTCGGCCTCCCCCGCTTTACTTCCACCCAGTCCTTTTGCAATGGTCCTGCCTTTTGAAGCGTTCGACAGTTTTGCTGCGCAATATACTGACTACCGCCATATATCCTCCGCAGGTTTTCGTATCCACGAGCAACGGAATCCCCAGCCTCCCAGGCTCATCGCATTCGTTTACTTTCTCTTTGTCCCTTCTCACCCACCTGTTGGTATGGTAGCTATTCCCACCAGCCATAGGATTGTCACGTTCATCTTGTCTTCCCCTGTTTGCACATCCTTGCACCCATTTAGTCCTAGACCCACGTCTGTAATACATTCCCTGGTCTCAGTCACAACATTGCCATCGGGTCTTTCGTCTTGATAATCAACTGATTCCTACTGTCTGCTTGCCATTGCCACAACTGAGAACTGTGGAACAATTAATTCGCTCTGCTAACTTTCCTTCGTCCTGCACGTGCTTGTAAAACATTCGCCGACACATTGATGCGTTCCTCGCACCGTCTTAAACTGGCTTGTGTCTGTTAGTTTCGTCAACCTGCTCTCTGACGAGCAACAACTTATGCATTCGGTTCTGTCCACTCACCATCCCATGTCCCATATTTTTGAATTTCCCACAGGTTTTGGGACTTCATTAGAAAACCCAAAAATCATTAATGCTGTGCTGTTTTCCTTGCCACCATCGGAGTCTGCCCCTGTAATTCGAAGATAGCATTCTTTTAACCTTCTCCTGCAATACTCTCCGCCTCTTTTTTTCTCTATTGCTTTTTACATGTCTTTCTCCCTCTCACCTGCTCGGATGGGGTCCAAATTGTGAGCGCGTGTGCCTTGCGTCCAACGTAACCATTGCCCCCTCTACCTGACGTATTTATACCTGTTTTGTGATAGTCATCTCGTCCTAGGGGGCGTCTTTTCACTCCCCCACGTGTGCGCGCCTGCTCCGCACGAACCCTTATAGGATGGTGTGGACTTCTCTCAAAGCCTTGCGCGCTCTACCACCCCCGTGCTCCGTAATTCCGGTACGCCTCCGTGTTTCAGGTTCATGGCTTATAGTCATTGCTTCTCTCGGCGCGGTGTACCCTTCAGGGAATGCTTCTTGTCCAACCCCCCCCCCCACACACACACTTGTTTGCAGGTGACAAAGGGCACAACACTTAACAGATTTGGTAGCATTAAATCGCATTTTCAACTATCTAGACCGTCTTTTGATTTACTTTCTCGAATACCCACTCCACATGTCTATTTCCAGTCCCGGGTTTTATTCACCCCATAGAGTAACTAATAGAATCGTTGGGTTTCTAGATAGCTTTCGAAAGCCACCACTCCGCGTTCCCCGTACGTTTTTTTAATACCTTATTTTAGACTGCTGGAGGAGATCGCAATGCTCAGCGTCAGCACTTTTTCGTCGTAGTGATTAACGTAGCATTGCGCCTCTGCCTAACATATGACCTATTTGACCCCTGCTTTAGCGTTAGCGCAGCCCGCATTGCAGGCTTTGTCAAATACCTACACAAGGTCATCCACTTCCTCCTAGACGGCATAAGTGGTATCGAAAACTGTCCGACCTAAACCGGACTCGGCACATGTATTAAACAGATGGGCGAGAGCAAGAATGATCCTTGGATATACCCAGGTGCTTTACAGAGAACGTATAACTACTTCGTATGCGAATTTGTGGAGTGTTTCCTCAGGTCCAAAAAAGTAAGGGGTCCCTTGATCTACCCTGCATGGCAGCCTTTAACTGTTATCCTATAAATTATCCTGCGTTGGTTAGGAGGTTTGGGGAATGCATTAACCTCAAGAATTGGGAAGTTGCCAAATGTTAGTTGGAAATGCGATAAGTACTGAATTTATTGCTTCTGGGTTCTACCTAAGTTGTGTCGTAAGCCCGTGAGAATCCTTCAGCTGAGCAGTCATTTTGTCGGTAGAAGCCAGTTTTCCCACAGTCCCGCTATAAAATAGGACGGCATAGCAGTATGCAAACTAAAAAAGGTGGGAACTTTCTGGAGAGACCAGATTACTTTTAGAGTCGGGTGCTGTTTCCCCTTCACCAAGCTCTCACGCGCGTTTGCTTAACTAGGGCGAGGATACGTTTGGCCGTTTCAAAAACAAGATGGGTGAATGGTTTGTGCAGTGCGAAATATCCTCATACAAGTTATGCTTCTAAATGGGGAAGCAGGAGGCTGTTCGACCGCCGGAACGATTCGTTTATTCGTCTGAACTTTCGAATTTGTACAGGAGTCCACCGTCAGAGACAAAAATGGCAACAGAACAAGCAACAGTTATAGGGAGCATGAGCCAATCAAACGTCAGTGACGCCAGTCTGGAGGTGACTGTGTAGGACTGTATGTCGGCGCCGGATTGATACTGCGATTAATTGGGTTCTCATCTCAGGCGCAGGCTTCAATCAATCCGTGGCCCGTCTTGCTTCAGGTGTAGACGATTATCCACGCGGTTATGAAGTTTAACTCGTGACCCGTTGCGTAGGTGTGGGTAGGCATCTGTGGTAATCCGTCACTCTGTCGCCCGGTCAGTTTATGTTCTTGTGTGCGCGACCCACGCATGCGTTCAGTCTGACCTGCGTAATCGCAAAAATAGTTTGGGCGTGGACTGCCTTCAGCCAGCAGGCGGCGTTACGTTGACGACACGTTTGTCATCGTTAGGGAGACTTACTGCAGAATTTCTATAATTGACTCAATGTTCCTGGATATACTAATCACGAGAGAAGAGAAAGGGGCAGCAGCTACTCGTCCTTGATGTACTTGTCAGACGGAGTCTCAACGGCGAAACAGAAAGAACGGTCTACGTGGAGGTGACGAACATCACGCATCTTCTTAGTTTTCACAAAAACCACCTGACGGTTGTCAAACCAAGCTGTGTGAAAACACTAAACGACCTTGGGCTCAGTGCAGAAACCAGGGAGAAAAAGCACATAAACTTCGACATTTCTGCGACCAATTTATGTGCAACGGTTATCCGAAGGCGTCTATAAGCCG